CTCAATGGTTAATATCAATATTAGTTTAAATATATCAGATCAAACAAAATACTACTTTTATTTGTGCACTAAAGAGATAGAAGATATTATGAAGAACAAGAGAAAATCCTTGTATTTTGACTATCTCCTAAGAATATTATGATACATCAATATGTGTCAGTTTGATTTTTCTAATGACAATTTTATTGATCAAAATTGAAATTTTTTAGTTGGTGGTTTTGATTTTGGTGAACGTGCTCTTATTACAAATGAATCTCGAAGTGCAACTGTCATGACAACTATACCAACAGATTTATTAGTTGTTGATCGTGAAGTTTTTAGTCGGTATATAATTAATATATTTATTATGAATTTATTCGTATTTCTAGCTTTTTTTTTTCTACTATAGAACACTTAAATCAGCACATGAAAAAGAATTACAAGAAAAAACTGAATTTATTAATCGATGTCCTTTATTTTCTTCATGGTCAGCAAGATTGAAACGTCTCGTCAGTCTAAGTTTAGAACGAGGTAGATTTGCATATGATAGTGTACTATACAAACAAGGTACATTTGCTGATGCTGTCTATTTTATATGGAGGTAAAGTAAATTTTCTTTTTTTTTTCTTTTTGTCTGAAATTTTTATCTAAAATTCTCATTACATCAGTGGTGAAGTGAAAATTACTATAGATCCATTACTTCATTGGCTTCAATATCCACATCTGCTTCCACAATCCGATCCAATGAAACAGTAAATATCATTTGCTTATGCTTGTTTTTCTTTAATATTTTTTGAAAAATATATATATATATATATTTAGACGTGCCTTTGAATTATTTCTTCCAATGCTTCAATTTACTTGTCCAATAGATACTGTATCAAGAGAAAGTTTTGCTATAAAACGACGTTATATGACATTTGCTGAAGCTGAAAAAGAACGTTCACATCGTAATAGACAAGTTGCTTTATTAAATACAGGTGATATTATTGGTCTTGAATCTTATGTATGTGATTTAACTACACATATGAATTCTGCAAGATGTACAGCTCCATGTGATCTTTTTTATATCTTAAAACATAATTTTATTCGTTTACAAAAACGTCATGGTACACAAGGTCTTAGTGAACGTTTACGTGAAATTGTACTTCTTTCGCTTCAAGCCTATCCACAACGTATACTACATTTACCATTATTTAATTCTTTAATGAAACGACAATTAGCACCAATAATCAATGATGAACAACAACAATATCATGTTAAACAATCATGGCTTTTTCATATTCATAATGCAGCTCATTCTGTTTGTTTCATATACATATATGTGTTTTTATTTGAATTTATTATTAAATAAATTATTTAGAATACCCGTCGAATAGGCACAACATTAGCACATGCATCAACAACAAATAATACATCAACCACACGTTTATATCGTTCAACACCGTTGGGAAGTGCAGCTGCAATACAATATGTTACAAATGATCACGCTCGTCTTAGTAAAATAGAAGATCGTCTTAAACAATGGCATGCACAAATGGGTGATGATTCAAAAACACAAATACGTTCATTAACACGTTTTGTAAAATTTTAACTTAACAATAGAACTTCCTATTTTTTCTTGTTTATTTTTTTATTGTAGAATGTTGCGTGTGCAACAGGAAGTGCTCTTACACATACATCACCATCGGATGCATTAGAATCACAATCCGATGCTAGCGGTATTTCATCGAGGTAAACAAATTAGCTTGTGAAAACAAAAAGCTTTATGCCATTGTTGAAAACATAAACTAATGTTCTTTTTATTGATACACATAAAATAGAAAATTTACATTTTAACCTTAGTATAAGGTTAAAACTTAACTCATCGTTTGAACTCATATTGCGCCTATAAGGAAGTTTTGACAAGGCTAAAAAGTCTTAAAAGAATTCGTCTCCATGAACTCCTCGAGCCGAGTTATGATTATTTTACTGAATTTTCGATCCATTTTTAGGTATTCACTGAAAAATCAACATATGAAATTCCGACCTGAAATTCAACTCATAGATAGATCTAATGACCCTTTAGATGATGTTTTCGGTAAATATCTAAAAGTGAATCGAAGATTCAGTGACATAGACACAATTCGATTCTAAAGACTCACAAGTACCGATGCTTTTAAACTTTTTTCTAGTCTTACAAGGACTTCTTTGTGAGATCAATACAAATTCAAAAGGCGGATTAAAGTTTGGATAATTTCCGCATTATTAAATATATATAAAATTGAATGATTTTATCCATATAACATTTTCGCTACAAATACTTTTTCTTTATTAGACCGTTATATTTATTCTTACACTTGTATAAAATATATATTATTTATGTAATAGCACATCCGGTGATGGTAATGACCAGACTGTTCCTGTTGAAGGCCTTATGGAAGCAGCTAGCAGCATGAAGGAACCTCTATCAACACATTCATTTGTAAAGTTCATTAGATTTGTTATATATTTAAATACAAAAATATATTTAGAGTGCATCTTCGTCTTCAACAACTCATTTACCTCAATTACGTATTTATACGAAACAAGAACGATATGAAGATCTCCGAGCTTATCTTAAACAAGCATGGAAAGAATATCTCAAACGACCTATTCCAACTGTTTATTGACATACACTAGCTCCGAAAATTATTCGAATATCAATAACTTTTAATATACAAAAGAAATTTCAAAACAAAAAAAAAAAAAAACCATGTATATAAAATTTATTTGCAGTAATTGAAAGTTCAAAATCTCTTCTATTATTTATTAAAAAATCAAAAAAGATTCATCCTAAGTTTTCTAAGCTTATAACTATAACATACTACTGCTTGCATTTTCTCAAAAAGAGAAGGTTTTTTTTTCAAATTACATCTTCATTTTACGTCAGAACATTTTCAAGAATACTTTATTTAGTCGAACAAAAAATTAATATTTCATTCTAAGACATAAAAATTAGGTAAAGAATTTTCCTTCTACTAAATAACGTATTCTTTAAAATGTTTAATGCACAATAAGTTCGAATGAAGCTTTTAGTTTTTAGATCGATGATTGAACAGACTTTAAGCTATCTAATGGTATAAATAAATTTGGTATAAGATTGTCTTTTTTTTAATTTTGTTTGTATGATAAAAGTTATAGATATTCAAATGATTTTGAGTCAGTGTATATGTATTTTTTTTTCTTTGTCTGCTCTTTTAAATAAAAGCACTAATGTGATAGTTTTATTTGTGCAAAGCTGATTACTACGAAAGATAATATTTAAAAAAAAAAAATTTTTTTGATGAAAAGAAATATTTCTCAACATAAATGAGCGATATGTCTTGTAACGAAGCTAACAATGATCAATTAAATAATTTCCATATAGATTCTTACAATACATTTTCTTAATTAGAATTTACTGAAAAAAAAAAGATATTTAAATAGAATATCAATCGTAAGCAACACTGAAAAATAAATAAAAATGGCAGCATCAATTATTTTATTCACAAAATCTTCTTTAAATAAAAGCTATTGATAAAACGTTGATGAAAAGTCGAAGAAATGTTTTAAAGAGAAATATGTGATGATATATATTAAAATCTCGTAATCTTTCAGATTCATATTAATGCTGCTAAAATCAAGGAGATAATAACTGACAAGGTGATTAGAATTGAACTGTTAGCTTCTCTTTTGAAATTTATTCAAGATCAATAATAACCGTTATTAGCGATTCGTGGTGTAGGCCATGAGCACACATAAAAAGGAGTCACATTTCAACTCACATGTTGCTATGGATGGTCTATTTTTTCAGTCACTCTGCTGATACAGAAGATGTTCACTTATTTTGTTCTCCATTTCTCCATCGTTTTAACCTTTTCACTATTTAATGTTGTCCTCGTGTTCTATTTCTTATTAAAAAAGATTAATACAGAAAAGATGGAATAGCTAAATAACAAGAAGAATGTTAAAATCGGTCAATGCGGAAAAATCTTATGAAGATCATATAAGATCTTACTGATAATTGGATCTTATAGGATACATACTGTATGATCTAACACAATTTTATAATAAGACTGTTATTCATCATAATTTTGCCACAGCAGCCCACAACAATTCAATAATACCAAATAATACAATCATTTGATAATAATCACAATAACCAACACGTAAATATAAATGACCATAATGTCATTTGACATGAAAATATACTCAAACATGCATAAGACCATCACATGTTGCAGCAAGTTCAACAAATAGATATTTAAATTCTCATATGTCCTACGATATAACATTATTCGATTTTTCTACAACAATAGTGTTTGGACTGCACAAGAGATAAGATGCTGTTACATTCATAAGGTTCAGTGATAGAGTATATCTGAACAACTCACATATGGATATTCGCAAAGTTTTTTATTGATAATGCCACGCAGGTTTGCAAGATTGTAAGAGAGATCGTCATCTCACTATTGAAAAATATTTTTAGCTAACTTGTCGAAATTCTGTTGTTTAATGGAGATTAATTGAACGTTTAAATCTATCAATTTAAGGTTGAATTAATGAATAACGACTTTTCTTCAATCAGTTTATATCATTCTTGATATTATTTAGTCACATTGTCTTTTCAGTATTAATCGTTTTTATAGGAAATGGAAAGCAAAGCAGCATCAAAGAGACGAGAACATCAAAAGGCAAGTGAAATAGGGGATATGATAAATATACAATTCTTGCGCCTATAAAGCGATCAATAAAGAGAGAAAGATAGAAGCGAGAAAAGCAACCGTCTTTAGCAAAATATGAGCTAGTACGTGGCTATTTTTTTGTGCATGTTCATGATTAACAAGCGACTCGTGAACAAAGTACATTGTTTACAGACCAATCGCCATAATTTATTGTTCAAAAAATAAAAATTTCATCGAAAAGAACGCGTGAATAATGTCTACTGGAATAAATGTAGATCTCATATAAACATTTAAAATGCAACGTTATTTCAAGTTTTCTTAAACATTTCATGCTAATTATGTTCTATCATCAAAAAATGAAGTTCCACTTTCCAATTGTGAGCTACTACCCGGTACATTTTCTTGAGAAGTTTTATTGTAAGAAGAATTATTTTCGAATACTGCCTCTGTCACTTGTGAAACAATGCTGCTTCCATTTCCTGGACGTTCTGATGGAGTTAATTGGGTAGGTTCGTTAGTTCTGTCTGTCTGTTGGACTGATGCGGATGATGATGGACTATTGCCGATATCAGTTCCTTGAACTATTAATAATGTTGGTTGAATATCACTGTTAGTTCTACTTGTCTCTTGCACTGATGCAGATGACCAAACACTATTCGTAGTATTCGTTCTTTGAACTAATGATGGAGTTGGTTGGATGCTGTTGTTAGTTCCGTCTGTTTGTTGCATCGATATAGATGACCAGAAACTATTTTTAGTATTGATGGCTTCACCTACAAGTGATGTTGATTGGATATCGTCGTTCGTTTCACCTGTCTGTTTCAGCAATGTTGATGACAATGAACTATTGTTGGTATCAGCTATTTGACCTACTAGTGGTGTTGGTTGAGTATCACTCCTAGTTCCGTCTGTCTGTGGCATCGATGCAGATGACAAATGACTATTGTTGGCACCCATTACTTGGCATACAAGTATTGTCGGTTGAATATCATTATTTGTTCCATCTGTCTGTTGCGCTGATGTTGATGACCATGTACTATTGTTGGTACCCATTACTTGACCTACTAATGGGTTTGATGATATATCATTGTTAACTATATCTATCTGTTGCATTAATGTTGATGACGATAGACTATCGTTGATATCAGTTCCTTGAACTAGAAGCGGTGTTGGTTGGATATCACTGTTATTTCCATCTGTCTCTTGGACTGATGCAGGTGACGATGGACTATTATTAGTAACAGTTGCTTGAGCTACAAGTGGTGTTGGTTGAGTATCGCTGTTACTTTCAACTATCTGATGCGCCGATGTTGATGATAATGTACTATTGTTGGTATCAGTTGCTTGATCTGTAAGTGGTGTTGGTTGAATATAATTACTTGCTCCACCTGTTTGTTGAGTTGATATTGTTGATGATGGACTGTTATTGTTATCAACTGCTTGAGTTAATTGTGATGTTGATTGGATATCACTATTAGTATCGCCTATCTGTGGCATCAATGTTGAAGACACTAGACTATTATTGGTATCAGTTGCTTGACCTGTAAGTGGTGTTGGTTGAATATTATTATTTGTTTCACTTGTTTGTTGAGCTGATATTGTTGATGATGGACTATTGTTAGTAACAGATCCTTGAGCTACAAGTGGTTTTGATTGAGTATTATTGTTATTTTCGTCTATTTGTTGTGCCGATGTTGATGACAATGTACTATGGTTAATATCAGTTCCTTGAACTACTAACGGTGTTGGTTGAACATCATTGTTAGTTCCATCTGTCAGTTGAACTGATGCAGGTGACGATGCACTATTCGTGATATTAATTTCTTGAGTTACTGATGGGATTGCTTGGATTTCATGATTAGTTTCACCTGTCTGTTGAGTTGATATGAATGACGATGAACTATTGCTGATATTAGTTCCTTGAGCTACAAGCGGTGTCAATTGAGTATCACTGTTAACTCCACGTGCTTCTTGCACTGATACAGATGACCAAGTACTATTCTCGATTTTAATTTCTTGACTTAAAATTGGTGTTGTTTGAATATCATTATTAGTTTCACCTGTCTGTTGCACCGATGCTGATGGCAACAAAACATAGTAAGGTTTACTTCTTTGCGTTTGAGAAAAATTACCGTTGACTATAGATGGATGCTGGTTTTGAAGCTCATTACTACTATCAGTAGTGTTTAATGGAACATTTTTAGTAATTTCTGAATCTAATATGGGAGCTGTCGATGTAAGATATGCAAAAGAGAGAAAGACAAACAGTCTCGACACTATTGTTAATCGCAAGTTTATGCCGAATGATATGAAATATCTTGATAACATCATTGATTGAACGAGCAAAATATATATATAGACAGCACCAGCTAGCAATCTGTACTTTTAGAGCAGTTATAATGCTGTGGAAACAGCTGTATCATCGTTAAGCTAATAAATACGATGCATATTTATTAAGCAAAGATAGAACGATGTCAACGAGGATATTTTGTCATGAAGAAAAAAAAAGCGACGTACTTTCTCATTATCATCATTAGTATTCAAGGTTATGGAGCTGTAGAATTTTGTCCTCACTTGATGGAATAATCATATAATAAAAGCGAATACGCTTATTTATTCAACTCGATATCATATGTTAATGCTTTCACAACAAAACAAAGATATAATCAATTCAGAAATGAGAATTATCATTTAAATCCAACGACTATTTGTCATATATTTGAAGATCTTAGTAATTTTTGTTTTGTTAGTCAACAAAATTGAAAACATGCCTATTTCATATTCGATAGGCAATATAATTGAGAAAGGAAAAAAAGTAGTACTTAAATAACAATATTATTCAAAAATTATCAATTGATGTATGGACCTTGATCATGAGATCAGAACAGTAGTTTATCAATGGTTATATAAATCATTGAACTCCGTGTATTGTATGTTTTTTTTTGTAACTTAACAAAACAAGCGGTAAACGTCATTGAGTAAAGCTTCATTGAATTTATTGATTACGAAAAACTAAATAGATATGTTTTGTCTCATCAATCTTCTATTATCATTTCCTTCCATTTTCATTTAGATATTGTTTTCCTTCATTTTTTTTTCTTTTGCAATCATTTAATTACATTGATATTTGCATCTTTTGTTGGTGTTATATTTCTCCGTTTTTGCTTTTGAATTTCTTTGCAGTATTACTATTCATATAATCCAACCATACTTTAATTATCACAAAAAAACTGACGTTCTTCTTCTTTGTAATAAATGATTTTTTATATAATATCTAAAGTTCCGGACATCTCCACGATTATTCATCTTATAACTGAATACTATTTTTCAATTTATCTAACAAAGTATTATACGGAAAAAAGTGTATGTATAAACATTATATGATTCATTATCAATATAAACTAAATTTAAAAACAAAACAAAAGAACATAATTACAAGTATGCCAATAATAACATGACAAAAGTTTCTTGTTAACATGGACATTGATTATTATTTTTTTTTTTATTGACAGTATGATATTAGATCAAGTTATCTCTTCTGTTGAAAATTTCTACTATCGACTCTTCGAGCATGCATATGAGTGCAAATTTATTTAAATCCTCCATCTGACAGTAATCTACTGACAAGCTATGCCACGGAGTCATAGTTCAGAAATAGAATTTATAGAGACATTTCTCAAAGTTATTTTTAGATGCAAATGAACTAAATAAACTTCCAATTCATGATGGAAAATAAACTTTTATAATAAATAAGTTCGACTTGTGCATTCATTATATTTTGGATGGTTACATATTAATTTCAAAGATTAGTGCTAATGACCCTTTTTCAACATATTAATATTCAAACAGAAATAAAACATCCTACGAGGCAATTGTGTTTTCATATTATTATTTTGTCATATATACTTGTGATGCCAGAGGATAAAAGAAAATTTATGACGTGCAAACATTCACTAATGTTCAATGCATCCTACTGAATTAATATATAATTAGTTATCTCAAAAACCGAAAAAAAAAACATTTCAAACATTGGTTTCTCATACAAGTTTATTTCTTTACAGATACTATTCTAAACATTCTGATGTGGATTAATATAATAAATCATTTATCTCAATTATCGCCTTCTTAGATTTCTGTAATAGATTCTAAAATTCATAAACTCCTCGGCTCATTATTACTTTGAACGATTCACGCTCGATATTATAAACCCGAAAAAATTATTATTCCATGCTTTTATTCATGTAGACTGAGTTACGTTTTTACAGGAATATGCATACACATCTTATGGAACTAAAGCAACTCAACGATTCTATAGATATTAGAATATGTAATATCCTTCATACATGGGCCTGTAACTCAGGGGTAGAGTGTTCGCTTTGCATGCGAAAAGTCTTGGGTTCAAATCCCAACTCGTCCAGTCTTTTTTGGAATCTGTAAATTTTTTTTCGGTTCGTTCCTGTGGGTATGACAAAGCAAAGCGTTAGAACATATCAAACATGACTAGCTCGCTGGATTCTATCGACATTCGAAAATGCACTGTCTTTCACACATGGGCCTGTAACTCAGGGGTAGAGTGTTCGCTTCGCATGCGAAAAGTCTTGGGTTCAAATCCCAACTGGTCCAGTCTTTTTTGGCATCTGTAAATTTTTTTTCCGTTCGTTCCTGTGGGTATGCCAAAGCAAAGCGTTACAACATATCAAACATGACTACCTCGCTGGATTCTATCGACATTCGAAAATGCACCGTCTTTCACAGATGGGCTTGTAACTCAGGGGTAGAGTGTTCGCTTTGCATGCGAAAAGTGTTGGGTTCAAATCCCAACTCGTCCAGTCCTTTTTGGCATCTGGAAATTTTTTTTCGGTTCGTTCCTATGAGTATGCGACAAAAAATCATTAGAGTATACCAAACATGCCTCAATTTTAAGTTTTATGGATCTTCGTTCGTACATTTATATACATTTTTGATCTAATGCAAGTGTTTCTATTGAAAATATTAATAGTCATCTTTACAGTATAATCTCGTCCGTGTATGTATAGGTGTGATGACAATCTGCTGGAAGAAATATATTTAATAATAATTGTTAAAAATATTTCGTATCACTAAACTTCATTGCTCTTCTCTTGAACAAGACAATGTTATTTTTCTTCATATAAATAATTAGATTGTTTTGGTTTTAACAACGGATTAATTTTTCGTTATAGAAGCAGATATTGTATTGTATCTTTCATTTGATTCGTTTGGCGATGCAAGAATTTTAATATATGTGGAAATACTTCGAGGAGATGGGCGAAACCTACTGCTTACCTATGAAGAGCTGTTGTTAGGGGATGCCAAGAGGTATACTTTCTCTCCTTTGTTCTGTGTAGATCATGTATGTTTTCTCTAGTGAATTTTTGACTCTATATCATCCTCTAGTAAATTGCCTGCGTGTCTCAACTCTGATACATATATATTTATATTTATTGCTTGCAACAATAAACACATTCTATATATGCATTAGATAAAATTTCTGTTCAGCTCATAACTGGTTAGTGGTCGAGTATCTTTACATAGTTTTGATGTGATCAAACTAGAAATAAATAAGTTTCAATGAATTCTTTTTTTTTAATCTGCTTATTGCATGAACAAACTTTCTGAATTCCAAAAGTACCATCTCTTATTTTAGGCGTTTAAAATTAAACAAGGTAGTTAGGTTTCATCGATGATTTACACTGTATCTTGGCTATTTTTAAAGATATCGCGCTTCTGACGGTTTTCTCATCCTGTCGATACTAATAATCAAGTGGAAAGTGAATTCAATTTGTTTGTCGTGCTAAAATTCATTATCACAAAGAGGATCGCTTCGTATTCTTTTGGAATTGAACGTAATCGACGTAGTTTTCAAAATGTTCGAAGTGAACCGTTCCTATCTCTATATATTATAATGGTAAAAGAGGAAATAAAAGAAACCTGTTAGTGGAATCTCTGTGGGATTAATATGTGAAGCATGATGTAGCTGCTGCTGTTAATTACAGGAAGATTGATGTATTCTATCTATTTTGAGGCACATTTCTTCATCATTGTTTCATCTAATCCTACAGAAATGCAAGAAGGAACCAGTTCATATATTATAACAAGACGTTATTAAAACACTATCTTTGATCGATTGTCAACAACGTCTGTCATTGTCTGTAATGAGCAAAGGATTAGAAATAACTCCAACATTTTTTTAAATGCCGTTGAATTATGTGTTTCAAAGGTAAAATAATATGCCACTTCGTCAATTAAAGAATAAATAAAAACTACTGTCGAATAATCTTATTGCAACTAATGGTTCAGTCATCATTGATTTAGCTTCGATCAAAAATTCTAATAACGTGACTAGCAATTTTATAAATTACTTAACATCAAAGAGTTTGTTGCATGAATAAATAGTCTAATGCCTTGTATATAATTATATATAATGACACTATTTTTGGGTTAAGTTCTGATATTCCTTCAAATACAATCCAATTCTTCCTACAAAAATTTCGAAAAACGATTAATAAGTTTAATCAATGTTTTATTAAATTTCGAACAATTTTGAGAATATATGCGAAGACAATACAAAAAAAATTACAAGATCATTGAAGTCTAACGCTCCATCAAAATTCAATAATTGCAAGATGAATACGGTGTTCTGATGAAGGAAAAGAAGATTTAATGATGCTCGTATTCAACTTATGAGAATACTATAACTGAGACATTGAATGTCTCATTAACTCGATGATGAGCAAAAGTAAGAATGAGTTAAAATTTTTGGCGAAATGTCGTGATGAATCATGACAATTATGTAATGTGATGACAGGTGATAAGGCATAGTTTTATTATAGACAAATTATGTGCAAGTGGACTAACGCAAATTGGACTAGTGAAAACGAATCACCAACGACTATTGTTCACTAAAATAGATTTGAACTACAAAGTTTGTTTTCTGTATTCTTTGAATCAAATAGTCCTGATCTTATACATGATGTAGATAAAGGCGAGACTATGGTTCACAACTATCATATTGAAAATTGTCACAAATCTGTTTTCAATGAAATATAGTAATATAGAAAGTCATCAAGTGAAAAATTCATAAAACTATTTGATGATAATACTCGATCTCATATTCATTCGGATGTATTATTAATTATTTGACTCAAGTAGACATTATTATAATGCTACATTTACGGTTCTCATCAGATCTTGCATCGTGTAATTTTTATCTAAATGATGACATCAAACGTAGTTTAATTAATTAAACAAAAAGATAATCATTGGTTCCTACGGTTTCCAAGATACTTAATAATATTTCTTAAAAATTTGGA